TGCCAGGACCCCCCATCGTTGTTCCTGGCTCGGGGGGTCCCACTCCCGCTCCCCAGCCCGCGGCGGATGCGCCCCCGCCGCCTGCCCCCCCCGAGCCCCAGTCCCAGGCGCCCCCCCACCCGACGCCAGATGCATGCGCTGCATTTGTTCGGGGACTCGGCGGGAGGGAGACATCCAAGATTGGGTAGATAAGGTGCTGGCAACACACCCCGCTCGGCTCATTGATCCTAGCATTCATGTTATTCACGATCCAGAGCACGGGGATCTCACGCGCCCAGACACGGTGGCCTTGTGGAGCCGGCTCATTCGAGCTGGCTTCATCGCTGCCGTGATTGCAGGCCCGCCCTGCGAAACGTGGCCAGTGGCGCGTCATCGTGACCCTGGGCAGAGGCCCGACGGAGCCAGGACAGAACCCCCCAGACCCTTGAGATCCCGTGGGGCGCACTGGGGGCTCAAAGCCATTGGGGGGCGAGGGCATGTCCAACTCTCGCTTGGCAATCGGCTGTTGCGGACCACCCTCGAGGTGGCGGCCCTCTGTTGGCGTCTGGGGCCTTCCTTCATTATGGAGCATCCCGCAGAACCCTGGAGTCCCTCTGAGGCTCCCAGCTCGTGGCTCTTGGACCAAGTGAAGAGGCTGTGCAAGTTGGAGGCCGCCCACCCGGTCACCAGCCATCTGTGCGCCTTCGGAGCCCCCACGAGGAACCCCACCAATCGCCTTATCATCCACGCGCCCTCTCCTGTGGATGCGCTGGCTACCAGGCGGGGGGGAGCCATGTGCACCCACCGCGCTGGGGGCTGGGATGAAATGGGCAATTGGAGGACCTCGGCTGCCAAAACCTACCCCTCTGAGCTCTGCAGGGTCCTGGGGGCCTTCATTGTTCATGAATCCTGGACACGATTTCCGTGGTTGTTCACTAGGGGGGCCCACCCACACTTCGGATTCGTCTTCGAGGCAGGTACAGGAGGCTGGCACCAGGGCCCAATTACGTTCCAGGGACACCCACACTCGGCAACATCGATCTCCTCAGCGCTCCCGCCCACGACTGGACATACGATGAGGAAAAGAACAACTCCAGCACGATCTGCACTTGATGCACGAAGAGGACGGCTGGATTCTACTATCGCTGGGAAAATATCTCACACCACTGGATCCATATCAGGACGACCAGCAGATTGGCATGGATTTTATGCTCCACACACGGATACGAGACCCAAGGAGATAGAGGGACATAATTGGCAGGGGGGCCACGGTCTGCTGCTTGCTGCTCTTACTCCCTTGGATCCGTGCCGCCCCCTTCTTAGGTCCGCGCACCGCTTGTGGTAGTAACTTTCTGTGAAAGGCCTTGTAGGGTCCTCACCCCTGGAAGGATGGCCTGAGGTATGACCCTCCCCGACAGCGACGTCACACTTATTGACAGTACCAGACTTGGTTTGGAGAGGGTTTGGATAGGCAGCGCTCAATTCACGTCTACACTGGACGTTAAATAGCAGGGGATTGAGTTTAGCCAGAGGGGGTGCATGCGTTTCACTGACATGTTGCTGCCGCTGCTCTGCCGTCGCCGCATCGTTGTTACTCCGATCCTGTTTTTCCATGTTGATATCATCCTGCCCCGCGGGCGTCGAATCCCTGCCATAGACCCGAGAAAGAAAGAGGAGGAGGAGGAGGAAGAGGATTTGGAGGACGACGAGGAGGAGGAGGAGGAGGAAGAGGAGGAGGAGGAGAAGGAGGAGGAGGAGGAGAAGGGGAAGGGGGGAGGAGGAGGAGGAGGAGGAGGCGGAGGAGGACGAGGACCAGGACCAGGACCAGGACGAGGACGAGGACGAGGACGAAGACGAAAACGAGGACGTGGCCGAGGACGAGGACGAGGACGAGGACGACGACAAGGACGAGGACGAGGACGAGGAGGAGGAGGAGGAGGAGCGGAGGAGGAGGAGGATGAGGAGGAGGAGGAGGAGGAGAGGAGGGGAGGACGAGGAGGAGGAGGAGGAGGAGGAGAAGGAGGAGGAAGTGCAGGGGCGGAGGAAACGGAGGGGGCGGCGGAGTAGGCGGAGGAGGAGGAGGAAGAGGAGGAGGAGGGGGAGGAGGAGGAAGAGGAGAAGGAGGAGGAGGAATAGGAGGAGGGTGTGGAGAGGGGAAGGGTAGAATGTGGTTTGGTTTCACCTTCGCACTTTCGGCTAGACGTACTGGTCGGGCCTGCTGGGTGGGTTGCGTTTCGCGCGGCGCGGTTGGGCCGCGCGCGAGATCGGGGATGTGGTTGTTGGTGTTGTCTGGCGCCTTAGTCGCACTACGTGCCGCACCCATTGATTAGGGACCGCCCCCTCAGTTTGGTTCGCTTGGAGCGTGAACCTACAAGGGTACGAAATCCGACCTTGCTTGAGGAGGCGCACGCAGGCGTTTCCCTCTCCCAGCGCGTGTTTCCATGGGACTCAGTGTCGCTCTGGGGGCAAGGTGCCAAGCAGGAAGACGCCCACGAAAATTTTGCGAGCGCTTCCCCATCCCGCCGCTTGCCCCCGCGGGTCCACCCCCTTTTTTCTGTTCAGTTACACCGAGGCACCATGGAACCATGGAACCCCTGTCGGGCGATCCACAAGACTTAGCAGGGCACCCTGTCGGGCTACCCTGGCCCATGGAACCCCTGTCGGGCGATCCACAGGACTTGGAATGTGGGTGCAGATACCTGTCGGTCCTCTCCCCCATCAGCCTCTCCCTCATCCTCCCCCCCCTCATCCGCCTCTGGTGTGGCCGTTCCGTCTCCGTTATTTCTCCGCCTCTCTTTTCTCCTCCCTCCTCCTCCCTCCTCCTCTCCTCCCTCCTCCCTTCGTCCTCCCTCCTCTCTCTCTCTCTCTCCTCCTTTCCTCCCTCCTCCCGTCCTCCTCCTCCCTTCCTCCTTCCCCTCTCCCTCCTCCTCTCCTCCCTACTCCCTCCTC